TGACGTTACTATTACTGTCATGATAGACCTCAGTAAGGCATTTGATCGCCTGCACCACAAGCTACTTTTTGCAAAGCTTCATTATTTTGGTTTCTCCGATAGTTCGATCAAATGGTTTCGCAGTGATTTTTATGAACGCTCTTAGAGGGTGACATCTTATCAGGCGACTATCCTTGGACCTATTTTGTTTTCTTTATCTGTAACGGACTTAGATCAACTTACTAGTATTGCGAATTACACACATTCATTTATCTTATAACCCTGCTATGTACACCGAAGTGAATGAGATGCTGTCAGAGGATTTACAAAGTATATGTGTTTGGTTTAACTCTAGAAAGTTGACTATCATAGCTATTAAATCTAAATTCAGCAAATTCAATAGTTAATCAATACAGCTGTGTATTGGAGGTGATGAACTTTGACCCAAGACATCGGTTTCCAACTTGGAAAGCACATTTGAAGAGAACCTGTGCTCCTATTATGACGTCACCAAAGCCCTTAAGGGTTTCTATGCTAAGTTGAAATCAAGTTATAGTTATAAAAATGTATTGTCCAAGCAGACTAAGATTAAGTTGTGTCTCCCTTAACCTCAATAAAGTTGAGTACGGGAACCTTGTCCTATGTCCATGTCCAACGCAGAGCGAAGCGTATAGACTCCAAAAAGTGCAAAACAGCTGCACAAGTTTGACTTTAAGTATTCTAAGGCGGAAGAGAATATCTGACCATATTAAAAATAATCAATTGCTTACTATGCGACAAAGATGGATTATGCATCTATTATCAGTATTTTGATAAATAAAATGACTGTTAATTTGAAGAACACTTAGCCAATCTGCGTTTTGTAGGATATATCCTTGACCTGCCCCGGCACCGAGCAACACATTCAGAAAGATTTGTACAAAGTACTATTTCTATATGTGTCAACCTTTAAAAAAAATTCAGCTGTGTTTGATAACATATAATACGTATTTTTATGTAATTTTATTTTTATATTTGTTTATTTGTGCAAGCTTTTTACCTCACTTGCCTCTCTTCATTTGTTTGTGTTTTGACCACTAGCCTGTTTACTTTTAATTTTTATATCTTCCGCGAAATATTAGTTTTTTACTGTTATTTCTAAGCATACCCTTTGATTTTGTTACGGGCTCTGTCGATGCACGTTTCTCTTTTGGTCATTATTTCATACATAGGCTACGACGTTGTACAAGGTTCTATTTCTATTATAAACTTTCCTATTGTCTTCGCTTTGTATTTGCATGTACTTGTATTTTTTGTAGCGCTAGTTGGTTCTGAAAGACAGCTTTTGCTGATGTAACTCGCCAGGAAAAATAAAGGCCATTCTTATTATTATTATTCGTTTTTGCTTGGTCTTTCACCGTTACACACGGGGTATGTACACAATAGAGGAGGAATTCACCTCAGCCTATTGCGAAGAACTTGCAAACTATGTGACATGTTTGCAATATTGCGGCTTTCTGCATCAATGCAATAAAATGCGCTGGAACTTTGATTTTCTCTAAGTGAGAGTGGAGATTTACAGAGACTGCCCTTTCCACAGACACTACCACTGGTATTATACAGACCTTCTAATAGTTTCCAAATGTTTTTGACTTCAATGGCAAGGTTTTGATACTTTTTTACAATTATGTATGCTTTCCGTTTATTTTTATCGATCACTAGTATCTCTGGGCGGTTATAGTTAACTGTCTTATCGGTTATGACTGGTCTGTCCCAGTACAATAGGGCCGACTGATTCTCGAGTACTGGGAATGGTGTACATTTATAATATGGCGCAGTTGACTCAATGAGATTATAATTTTGAGCTAACGTGGAGTGTATTATTTTGGCTACCTGATTATGCCGGGATAAGTACACACTATTAGCCAACATGTTGCAGCTGGAGGTGACGTGTTCTATTGTTTCACCTGGCGTACGGCATTTGCTACATACGTCGTGTGTATTCAGTCCTAGTATATGGTGTTCATAGTTTCCAGTTCGAATAACCTTATCCTGAATAGCACATAGAAAACCCTCCGATTCCGGACGTAGGTAGCCCTTCACAAAAATTGATAGTGATAACTTTTTATCAATTCCATCTTTTTCAAGTGTTACAGGATATCTTCCGTAAAGGACTTTCTCTTTCCATCTGTTGAGCGGGTCAGTCGACGTCGATATTGATCGATCTGGGGATTCATGATTTCTGCCCAAATTCATGGGGGTGATGTTGCTGTCCATAGCTGTAATGTTCCTGATGTTTTGACCGTTGATGTTGCAAAAATATCGACGAAGCTTGGACACTTGCTCTTTGCAAAGTCGCTCAACATTTATCAATCGTCTTCCCCCAAGGGCTCTAGTTCCGTGCCAGATTTTGGATGTAGCATACGAAATTTGGAGAGTAATTTTCTAGTATCTCGATCGATTTCAGCTAGGTTTGTATCGCTCCATTTAATAGCGCCAAAGCTATATGACAGCACTGGCACAGCCCAAACATTTATTGCCATTATAAGATTTTTTGAATTAAGTTTGGTGTTGGAGAGAGCTTTGATATCCCGCTTTATTTCAAATAGTAAGCTTACACTCTGTTTCCACAGATGTATATTTGATGGCTGCCAATATATGATGCCACATTTTCAATGGAAACAGTTGTGTTTTTATGTCTACTGCTCTATCGACACTGTTCGTTGCAAGTCAGGCGGGGATATACAAACTGCATTTTCCGTTGCTATGATGTGAGGTGCGTAGTTTTATGCTGTGTGTATTCTGTTACCGGCGTTTTCAAGTAAGTATTCCTACAAGTCTATACAAATTTTCAACTTTAAAGTAGATATAGTGGAACAATTGTCTAATGTGCATCCATTTTAACATAATACAATCTTGTTTAAATAATAAAAGGCACGAAGTGTTAAACTTACTACTCTGTTACTGCACAACTGTGTTCCCACTTTGTAGTAACAGAGTTGTGGACTGGTAACCGAGTTGTTATCATACTTATTATTTTACTGTTTGAAGCTTTTTTCGTGGTTAGTCTGTCTGTATCTTGTATAATAAATAAAATAATTTGTTCTAGATAATTATATGACATCATTATGGCTCTCACCGCGGCTGAAATATACTAAGTGACATATAAATCCGAACACCCAGTTTAAATGGTTTCATTTTAATAAAAGTTGGTGAATGCATTTATCTTACTGTAAATAACAAGTGAAAAAATTTTATCAGTTGGACATTCCGGTTTTTATACTGCTTTTTTTTAATTCACTAACGCTCTAAAAATGAATATTTCAGCCACAGTAAAGAATCAACGTTGGCAGATTTTGGTTCTTGGCATCCTTTACGATCGGTTACGATGCCTAGAGTACGGAGACCTGTACGATTTCGTCAACTTAGTGAGTTTGATAGGGGCCGTATAGTGGGACTTCGGGAAGCTGGACTTTCTTTTCGGGCAATTGCAGTTAGAGTGCAAAGAAGTGTAGACACTGTGGTAAGGTGTTGTCAGGCATGGCTTCGAGAAGGCCGTACGTAAAGAGCAAGGGGCACTGGACGCCGCCGTAGAACAACAGACCGTGAAGATCGCCGCCTAAGATAATTGGCCTTAAGGGACCGTTTCTCCACTACCAGGTCCATTGCAAATGAATGGTTTGCAGAACACGGAAGACCTATTGGCATGCGAAGTGTTTACCGACGAATGAGAAGTTTTGGCTTGTTTTCATACCGGCCACACTGGGTCCTCCCTTTAACTCGAGAACACCGAAGTAATCGCCTTGAGTGGTGCAGACAACGGTCACTCTGGGATCAGGAATGGCACAGTATTGTCTTTAGTGACGAGTCTTGATTTTGTTTAGGCATGCACGATGGTCGTGCCAGGGTTAGAAGGCGACGTGGTGAAAGGAGGAATCCACAGTTTTTTGTTGAAAGACATGTTCATCACACTGCTGGAGTTATGGTTTGGGGTGCTATAGCTTATGGTTCCAGGTCACCTTTAATCTTCATCAGAGGTAACATGAACGCGCAGCGTTATATCCACGAAGTTCTAGAACCCCATCTTTTACCCTATCTTGACACCCTGGCAGATCCAACTTTCCAACAAGATAATGCCCGACCACATGTTGCAAGAGTCACAATAGACTTCTTTCAACATAATGATGTCACATTGTTACCATGGCCACCAAGATCTCCCGACTTATCCCCAATTGAGCACGTGCGGGATATGATGGGTAGGAGATTGGTCAATTTGCAACGTCCTCCTCAGACTCTAGAAGCACTTCGAGAGGAGTTGGTGGTTGCCTGGAATGAGATACCACAGGAGGACATTGACCACCTGATCAGAAGCATGCCTAGGCGCGTTGGAGAATGCGTAGCACATCAGGGTGCATCCACACATTATTAAAGGTCAAAGGGCTTTAAAGCAGTGCAATCATTTTGAAAGTTTTATCATTTACTTATTATGCTTCATTAAGTACTTATACAAAATTTTATTAAAATAAAACCATTTAAACTGGGTGTTCGGATTTATATGTTACTTAGTATATATTTTCAGATGGACCCGCGACTCAGACTTTGTCAAAGTTACTTGGAATTATTTTGAGGTGGAACATGGAAATGAGGCGGCAGATGGTATCGGTGGCTTTATTAAGTGAACTGCTGAACAATTTGTTGCCATTGGGAGAGATATTTCTGATGCTTCTTCCTTCTATCAGCTTCTGAAAGACAGAAAGTGAAGATGTACCTGATACTTGATGAACACTTTGAAAACATAGCGAGAGAAATACCAACAGAAATAGTTCCTTTATATGAAAGTACATCAAGTTTTTACAGAAGAAATGGGATCGCTGAAGTATCGAGAGTTGAGCTATTATTGCCAGCATGGCTTCTGTTCTTGCATGTGTTCAAAAGCCTATTATCCGCCTAAAGAAACGACTGAACAATCAAATCCTGCTACGTTAGAAGATATTACTAATTTAATTGTTCAAAACAGGAAATCAATTTACAATGCTGTATAGAGTTCGGACTCGGAATCTAGTGACGATCAACCTGGATTGTCAAAAGAACAAAATTATGATAATAAGGTAATTGAGAAAGAGAATATTCATCGCAGTAAAATCAAAGAAGGAGTCGACGTTCTAGTAAAAATTTGCTCTTCTAAAAACGAATCCATTTACCTCGGAAAAGCTTTACATGGAGTAGACGATGATGAAGAAGTAAACATAGTATTCTTGAAGTCTGTTGACCATACCGGAAAAACATTTAAATTGGTCGAAAATCATATATCATACGAACAATATGAATGCTTGATAAGAATTGTTTCTGAACCTAAAAAGATAATGAAGGGCAAAAGGGTATATTACCATTTCCCCACTCCTTTAGAAATATTTGAAAAATAAGATATCAGTTAACTAATTTTGATTTAATCTCAGCTAGAGCATACTTGTTTTTTTTAAGTTTTAACGTCTAATAATTACGAAAAGAAAGTTTTGTGATTATATTCATAAATTAGTTATAAAAGTACAACCATGTTACGTTTCCTACAACTCTGGTACCTTTATGTCCCTATTTTTAAAAAAGTAAAGTTAGATTTTTTGTAAAAAGTTGGTACTTTGTTGTATATTTTATATGTCAGATATATACTACTTTTATTTACGAATAATAACTTAGTTAAATTCTTGTATTTCATTCAATTTAAGCAATTTGAGAAAAAAATTAGTTTCATATAAAGCATACAGAGTAACAGAGTATCCATAATTTTAAGTATTATTCATAAGTAAGAAGCAATACTGTGATTTTCCATGTCAAACATGAGAGTAAAGACTTAACTCATGTTAATTACAAAGAAGAATATAAAAATATATTTTTGTTGTTTAACTAATCAATAAATAAATGATAGTAACAGAGTTGTTATTTTTTTTGTATCCTGACCATGTAAATCTTCTAAAAATCAAAAAATAGCGACGAATGACCGCGCCTAGCTTTGAAATTGAATTGTATAAGGTTATGTCCATGACATGGATATCTTACTCCTAAATTAAACAAGATTTTAGTTTTTTTAGAATTTAGATCTATTGCCACGTTTTTCTGCAACCGATTTTAGAATGACTCTTCTACTAACCAAAAATCGGATTAACAAGGTTTCTTTGGGATCCTCGTAGCAGCCGCTGTGTCCTGGTATTTAGGCTTCCGCCTGTGGGGCTGTCTCAGTATAAAGAAAGAAGGAATTAACAAAGTCGATACGAGTATAAGTTACATGATTGTACCGGATTTCCTCAAGGTACTAAAATGTCTCCTCCGCATTTTCAGGCAAATTTAGCGTCATACTCCGGAAATAGCCGTCGGAAAAGCGAAGTATAAAAAACGAAATGCTGGGCGCCATAAAAAATACTTTATTATTCCGTTTGGTAGGTCTGTCCGTAATCTGGAAACGATCGAACGCCATAAAGTTTATAGAGGCGCTGCCGTCGGAAACATCACATTCCTTGAGTGTAACGGCGATACGTTCTTGCATTGGAAACGTCTTCGAGTGGGAACAGAGAAAGTATTTTATACTTTTTAAATGGTGCAGCTGTTATATATTACCTTAGATGTTCAGATAGCGACGGAACTACAAAACTAAAACTGGCACACAGCGGCAATATGTTTGGAAGATGCTAGTTTAACGGGTATGTGACTATTTTCACCAAATTCAAGTGGGCATCCCAGTCATAATGAGACTTTCCCAAGGAAAATACGAAACGATTTAAAGCGATATGGGCGATCTAAGGGGATATAATGTGAAACGAGGCAAACCAGGACAATCTGAGTACAAATGTAACCGAGATAAAGGATAGATAGATAGATAGATAATTTATTTGCCAGAATGTATGCATGCCAAAAATGACATTTCATGAAGTTGGACTGAAACATTTGCAAATAAATAAAATTATCTTGCAGAAAGGAGACCCTTGTGCTAATGTAAAACATTTATAATTTGCCGCAATAAGAGCTCAATATACTAAATTTCCACAGTGGTTTTGAAAAGACGTATATAACGTCTTGAAAGATGAACTAAATTATCTATAGATACACTGTGGTACGTCGTCTGAACCGAAAAACTGTAAACACTCGGCACCACTAGACACTTGCTAGACACACTGCCATAAGCACAAAGTTTTGCTATATTGTGGACTTGTTGCCCTTTTAGGATGGATCCATATAAACGTTCATCTAAAATTATGCCACTCATTAGGGTTTCCAATCATATTTATCGTATTTAAAGTGATGACTTTTGTAAACAAGTCGCTAAACGTCAAAGCCTAAATGCTTAGCTGCCGGTAAAATTACAACGTTGCCAAGGCATACTTGATTGTTATAATGATTATAGTTCGGTTAATTTCGGAATATAGAAATTCTGGATCTATTCAAAAGCGTTCATTATAATGCCTAAAAAAGGACAATTTTATTCGGTATGATCCAATATTGGACGAAGCGATCATCATAAAGCCGAAAATGGCACGTTTTGGACTTTCCGCTTGCACGCGCTCGCTTTCGTAATACGATCATACCTACAATACCCCGCCTAACAGGAATCGCGAATCTCCAGCAAAAATCAAAATACAAACTTCAAACTAAAAATATCTGCATATCTTTGAATTTTCTAACCTGCCGAGTTTAAAAAATGCGATCGGGTAACGTGTCGTATATCGGATTAATCAGGAGACTTTGGTCTTTCGTTTTGCGAAAAAAAATCGTAGCTGTGTCGATCCGTAATGAAGGTCCGTATCGACGAAGACAAAGTACGCCGAAAAACGGCTGTCATCGGTACCTTTGAAGCGCTCAAAGTTTACTTTTTCGAAATTTGACGGTAATTCTAACGGTCAGAATCGTTTCCTCAGCTCATTATCGTTATTTTTCGATAGCTGTATAATTTTTACTTGCTCACTTATAGTAGCAATAGGCGAGGACAGAGCCGGATGACAAAGTGACCATTTCACGCGTCGAAAAGTAGCATTTTGTCGAGCAATTTTTAAAAAATCGAAACTTTCGAACGACAAGGGATAAAGAAAATAAAAGACGCTATCTTTGAGTCCGATGTCCGGGCTTTCTCACGCAAAAATCGTCAGGTTCGTAGCTCCTTTATCTTCGGAGGAGATCGAAAAAGAACGTTGAACGGCACGAAAATCTACCAATTTTTCAACTTTACCGGCCATTTTCGATCTCGTTTGTTCCTCCTACCGCGACGGCTCTCGCTCCCCCGTAAAGCGCCGAGTTTCCGACACGGTATCGTTTTCCTTCCGAACGTTTCGCGAACCCGGAAAAAAACCGGAAAAATCGGAAAGTAGCGCGTAGTCGAGCAAATCAAAAAATCGAAATTTTCGAACGAAAAGGGACAAAAAAAAAAGAAAGACGCTATCTTTGAGCCCGACGCCAGGACTTTCTCACGCAAAAATCTTCAGGTTCGTAGCTCCTTTATCTTCGGAGGAAATCGATGTTGAACGTCGGACAGCACGAAAATCTACCGGTTTCTTCGACTTTACCCGCCGTTTTCGAACCGGCTTCTTTCTCTCACCGCTCCGGCTGTCGCTCCCCCGTAAAGCGCCGAGTTTCTAGTTTCCGAAACGGTATCGCTTTCCTCCCGAACGTTTCGCGAACCGGGGAAAAAATCGAAAAAACCGCGTCGATGTCCACCGTTCCGATCTGCTGTCAAAATCTGCGTCCAACCTAAAACAAAAGATCATCGCTCAGAGCTCAACATGCTAAATTTCCACAGTGGTTTTGAAAAGACGTATATAAAGTTACAGAATTTAATAAGGGATGATGTTTAACTAAATCAGAGACTCAAACTAAGTAAAAATTGGTGTTTTGAAATTTCAATCGTTTGTTAAACTAATGTCATTTCCGGCAGGGGTATCACGTAACTTGAAAAGTGACATTATGCCGATTTTTTTTGACATTATGTAGGTTATTCTACAAGATATTAACTTAGCACCTAGTTGTACGTGTTGCCTAAACGTCATGAGGCTTGTTATCAATCTTTGGCTCTGATGTGATGTAAAACCTCCTTCTAAGATGGCATTACTGGAGGTCTAAGCTGTAAGTTGTATGTGTTGATGATAATTACAATGGATTCTTGTCTCAAATACACTTAATTGAGATTCAAAGCTAGAAATTAGTTGTGCATCCACTTTTTCTTATCCATTCTGGAAATTAAATATACAAAGTTGCTGAATTTCAAAAATGAGAGAGATAAGAAATAATTATTATAATCACTGTACACTGTTGAATTACAAGCCATATACATGCTAACAGTAATTACACACAACGCGGGCGTGGTGATGATTTCCCGTAATTCTCCTCAGTTTTTCGTAATTTATAACTTTGAACATAACCTCTCTTCAGAAAGCACGACATAAATAACCCGTCGTATTCGGTATATTCAGTAATAATTTTCTCACACAGCAAATATCACTGATTTTATACACATGCAGACCAATACACATAATCATCCAGATGCGATCTTGCTATTCAACCAACTTTCCTCTCAGAGATAAAAACTACAGACGTTCACATAGCCTCACAAAAGTATGCAACCAATAATGCGCAGTTTAGTTGAGTGGTTCCTCCATAGATGGACGTTCACAACGATCCTAGTGAGCAAACGTGGAATGACTGTTTGCGCCCTAAAAACTACCTTGTCTGCAAGTTGACGTTTTATAGGTTTTTTACATGATACCCGTGCCGGTATGCTTAAGATTTATATTTTGTTTCTGAATATAATAACAAATTATGTAAAGATTTTGATCTAGAAACATTAATTCTTTCTTGATGCCAATGACTTGTAAAATGACATGTCTGGATAGGTTTAAGGTCCGTTTTACATTTCTGAATGGAAAAAGTTTTTGTTATTTGTTTTGTCTGTTGTGGTATCATATTGAAACAATTGGACCTGAAATATTAGATGACCGTTGTACGACATGCTTTTGTGGTTTAAGGATATCAATATAATTTTTATTCTTATACTGTATTCATGTCTAACAATACTAATGTTAAGCTAGTACTTATATTGTCACGTACACACGTGGCATATCCAATAGGTATAGTCGTATAATGTCAAAAATGTTTGAGTGGTGGAAAAGCTGAAATTTATAACGCTGACGCGGTTTATTAAACATACTCTCTAATATTGCTTTACAGATTGCCTCGATCTGTCCTAAATGTGAACTATTTGCCCCACACCAGTGATACCATATTCCATGAGACCTGGCGCTAGTTCATAATAAATAGTTAAAAATTGGCTTCATTGATAAAATTTGCAAGGTGACGTACATTATATAACACAGTAAGTGGCAGCATAAGAGGAGAAAGTAGGAAAGTGAGTCTTACTGAAGTTAACATAGAGGTATCGATCGTCAAA